CCCAAACCATTCTGTGATTCTAAACGTGACAAAACCTCTCATATTCTGCAACATACCCCTGCCACACTGACGTGTTCAGCGAAGATTGCCACGTGAAGGGCAGTACCTAGGAGACAACCAGTTACACCTGAAAACATTACGCTTCTATAAATAGACCTTTTATAGAAGGAAAACCAGCATGAATAATGCGAAGAGCTAATGCCCCAAATGCCACCTTGCTGCTTCTGCCTTACGAGAGGGGCCTGGGGCTGACAGCATCAGCCTCGGACATGGAGATTGGTCAAGATTAATGAAAACATCATCAATTTAATACTACTCAGAGATCGCAGACTTTTCACACCGATATGTTGGCTTTCCACTGAAGAAAAAGACCGAAGGGGGAAAGAAAAAAGCTAAACAAGCTTGAAAAGAGTAGCTGGACGTGACTGCGCCGCGCAACGGCGGTCACGGTCATCAGCACTCAACGATGAGTCAAACTGCCAAGCGGCATTTCTCAAACCACTGCTTCAGTCCAACAGATTTTCAAGAGCAAAATCATCTGCTGCTGCATTTTGCAGTGGGACCCAGCACGTACCCCAAAGCCTAAGCGATGCTGCGCGGGAGAAACCGCTCCTATGCCCGTAACGCTGCGCTACGGGACTCGCAAGGCTCTACACACGGCTCCCCCGGAGCTACAGGCTGCCTATGCTTAGGAAGAACCAGAAATGACACCTTTGCAATGGGTGCAATCTTAAAAGTCCCTTGGATTAAGCCATCAAAGTACTTCACGTAGGGATGTAAGCTTATTTGTACGTCGGAGCTCAAAATAAATAGGTGTAGATACTGTGGGAAACAGCAGGGCTCAAAGTCAACCCAGGGAAGACGGAGTTTTCTTAATTCTCCATGGGCGTACAAAGCCACTGGATTTTTTCAATGCGAACAGAAGATTCTCCTCTTGCCGCGTTCTCCTGAACAATTAAACCGCATCGGCTGACATTTCAAACGGCACAGCCCTGAGCCTTACCGTCAGCCAAAGGCCTCTGGGAAGGCTTCAGCCTGAGCAGTTTCACGGCAGTGCTTCCAACAAGTGAAAACAGCTTCTTAAAAAGCAAGTGATTAATCAAATGTGCCTAAACCAGGGTTGTCGGACCAGCGAGCAGGGTGATGTCGGCAGCAGACGTTCTCAGACAGAGCCGAGTCTGGCCACTCACCTGGCTCACGATGAAGAAGATGACAGTCATCGCCGCACAGGCCAGAGTAATGAGCATCAGGAACTTGAACCTAAAGATCAGCCCCTGTTGAGAGAGAAATGTCACTGGTCACATTAACAGAATCCACAAAACCCATTTTTGTTTTTAGCATATACAAGACAAGCGTATAAAAACCCAAGAAAGACAAAGAAAAAAAGGGTCCAACCCACGAAACCCCAAAGCAAAACAACCTCCACCCACTCCTCTGCGCCGTGTTCACGACAGCCCATATCCTCCGCTCCCCACTGCATTCCT